CGCGCCCCGCCCGGCCCGCGCCGGCCCCGCCCCTGGTGACGCAAATGTTAGATCGCCCCGCCCCCTACTTGCCCCGCCCCGGTGACGCAAGCCTCGGGATGCCCCGCCCCCGACATACTCCGTCCCACCCCGGTGACGTAAGCCTTAGGCTGCCCCGCCCCTCACCTCCTCTTACCAGCACCTGCCCCTCCCGGCGCTGCGAGGCGGCGTGCCGGGACCCAGGACCCAGGTTATGCGAAAACCATCGCGGGGCCGGGCTGCTTTGTTAAGGTTAAAGTGGGGTCTCCGCGGCAAGTCCCGAGCCCTGCCGCCTGCCGGTTGCTCCTACCCTGCCCACCTGCCGCGGCTCAGGCCGGACCCCACTCAGGTAAAACATGCTCAACCCAACGCCATGCGAGTCAGGATGAACAGGCCGTGACCCTGCCCTCGGAGGTCACTTAGAGTCAGCTGCCCACAGCCCTGAGGTCCCTCCACAGTCGATCTAGTCTTTCCACCCTTTGCCAGCCACCCGGCAATGAACTCCGGAGGTTCCCGCCTGTTCATATGAAGTGGAAGGCTAAAGAAAGGAACCTGCCCAGTGGCCCTGAAATGATTCCACTGAATCCATTAAACACAGAAAATCTGGAACCAGCACCCGTTTATTTCAGAGTTTACCCCTTCTATTCATGCAGTGCATTAGTAAGGATACAACCTGAATGAAACTACATGGGAAAACAATCCAGTCTACACCTGTTAGCCCCAAAGCGGGTGGGGTATGCACTCTGGGTCCTGGGTCCCAACAGCAGAAAGGCCAGCAAGGGCCCTCCTCCTGGGGCCAGAGGGCAGTTCTGAGGATTCCATTACTTCCCAAAACTGGCTAGTATTATTGGTGCAGCCAGGTGCACCCAGACGTGGCCTGAGAGGGCCAGGTGACCCGTATGGCCCTGGCAGGCACCATCTTACCCGCCAGCTCCACTCTTCCCTTAGCTTTCACAACAGCCCCAACCTGGGCTCTGCGCCTCCATCCAGCTGCTAGACAGGTCCCCCGGGTCCAATCACACCACTCATCAGTCCACAAACCCTCAAGGACTCCCAGGGGCCAAGAACCCCTCTGCAGCTGGTAGCCGTGCCCATGCCTTGTGACCTCATCCCCGCTCCTCACTCTTGTCACCGTCCCCCATCTTCAGGTGCCCTCACCACCCCTCACAACCCCCACTTCATTTCTCTGAAGCCTCCTGTTCTTGGTGGTCTCAGGCTGGGTGGCACTGCCCGCTCTGCCTTGCCCTGTGGGGCCCGTCCAGCTGCCCCGCCTGAGGGCTCCTCATCCCCTCTGCAGCCCAAGGCCCCCAGCGAGGCAGGCATTTCCTAGACCACGGGCAACATAGCCAAAGTGGCAGGTGACCGAAAACGCTCTTCTACAAACTGAGCATGAGCATACACCATGCATACTGGAAGGCGTCAAGGGAAGTGCAAAGAGGCGTCAGGGAGATGGGAGCAGAGCCCCAGACTTACCTGGGACCGCCTCGACGGCGCTGCCAGTGGGGTCAAGAGGGTGGGCACGAGCCGAGACAGTGGGCAGAGCGGTGGGCGAGGAGCCGCCTGAGCCAGTGCTGGATGCCAGGCTGGATGCCAGGCTGGAACTCACGCTGGGAGCGAGGGGGTGACCCACTGCCAACACTGCCAGGTGGCTCTGTGCAAAGACATAACAAGATGAGCCAGCACCCTGCTCAGGGACAGCAACCTGATGGCAGCACAGTGACAGAGAATGACACAATCGAGACGGATGGGCTGGCCCACTTTTATCCCCAAAACAAAATAAAGAAAGTCGACTACTTTTCCAGAGATTCTAGAGGGGCTTTAAATATCTGGTTAGTTACAATAACTGTGACAGCAGGATCACGAGCTGTCGATCACCCAGGGATGGGAACAAATGTATCCAGGGAGTGTCCCATCTAATGATGATAATAAGAATCATGATAATAAAGATTCAGAGAAGGACGTTCACAAGCAGATGAGGCAGCCTAAAAACAACCGACCACAGACGTGAGCAGACAGCCAGCACTGCTTCTGAAGACGTTGATAAAATAATCCTGTGAGGGACTTCCCTGGTGGCGCAGTGGTTAAGAATCTGCCTGCCAATGCAGGGGACACAGGTTCGAGCCCTGGTCCGGGAAGATCCCACATGCCACAGAGCAACTAAGCCCGTGCGCCACAACTACTGAGCCTGTGCTCTAGAGCCCACGTGCCACAACTACTAAAGCCGCGTGCCTAGAGCCCGTGCTCTGCAACAAGAGAAGCCACCGCAGTGAGAAGCCCGTGCACTGCAACAAAGAGTAGCCCCCGCTCACCGCAACTAGAGAAAGCCCGCGTGCAGCAACGAAGACCCAAAGCAGCCAAAAATAAATAAATAAAATAAATTTATTAAAAAAAAAAAAAAATCCTATGACCTTGTTACCCAACAAAAGAAAAAGATTGGGGCAATTCACATTATCTTTATTTGATAGATTAAAAGAATTGGCACAATTTTGGATGAATAGCCAGTAACGTGGAGGGCACTGTGCACAGAAAACGATGTGATGAAAATGAACCAGGACAGACCTACAAAGTCAGACCTCAGGGCTTTCCACACCGTACACAGTCATGTCTGGGTGCACACTCAGAGGCTGCTAGGAAATCAAGAGTCAGAAGCTATACTAAAGTGAAATGGTACGTCGTCTGAGTTTTGCCTCAAAATAATATAGGAAAAGTTAACTGTGGGGTGGTGGGGAGGGAAGGGGTGCTATAAGACCAAGTGCAAGGAGGTGGGGTTCCTAGTGAAATTCTCATAATAAAAAGGAAATTCACTGAACAGTGTGTAAGAGACCAATCTGGCACAGAATAGCTTCTCCGAGCAAGTGTTCCCAGCCCTGAGGCCTCCTTCTTGGCATTCACGGTCTACCCCCAGCAACTGGCTTTGCTCAAGAGAGGCCCCAGGTGACAACCCATTGCTCTATGACTGCAGAGACCCTGGGACTGATCGCCATTGTATGCTTGAGACTAAAACTTAAAAATAGTTAACTCGGGGGCTTCCCTGGTGGCATGGTGGTTGAGAGTCCGCCTGCCGATGCAAGGGACACGGGTTCGTGCCCTGGACCGGGAAGATCCCATATGCCGCGGAGCAGCTGGGCCCGTGAGCCATGGCCGCTGAGCCTGCACGTCTGGAGCCTGAGCCTGTGCTCTGCAACGGGAGAGGCCACAACAGTGAGAGGCCCGTGTACCGCAAAAAAAAAAAAAAAAATAGTAACTCAAACTACAGAGGTCTGGAGAGCAACGTCCCCCAGCTCTCCCTGGGCTTCAGCTCAGAGGTGGGCCCACCTGCCCATCCACAACCTGGCTTTCCATCCCTCCAGCCGTGGGAGGTGTGACCACAGGCCTTCCTCCTCTCTCCCGCCGCAGCCACTGCCCTGTCCCCGGGCGAGGCAGGAATGGCAGGAACCTACCCATGGCACTGCAGACACCCCATGTTAAACCCCATGCATGGAGCCTGGCTGGGAGCTGCCGTGACTTCACCCACCCAAAAAATTCATACTGCAGGAGCACGTGCCCCCTTGAAGACATCAGGTGACACTTTGTCCTGAAAATCGATGACAACATCCTGGTTGGTCCTTTCCCTGAGGCCACCCACGGTGATTACAGATGTACCAGGATGGGTGGAGAGTGGGGTCTCTGTCACCAGGGGAGCCAGACGTGACACAGCAAAATGGGGGGGGCCATGCCCCTCCCTATGCCAGCTGTGTCTGCACGGTTTCTCTTTTTTCGTGGTAAAATACACATAACATAGCATTGACCATCTTACCACTGTTAAGCATACAATCCAGCAGTATTAAATACACTGACAGCTATGCAGCCATCACTACCATCATCTCCAGAACTTTCTCATCTTCCCAAACTGAAACTCTGTCCTATTAAACACTAACTCCCCACCCTCCCCGAGCCCCTGAAACCCACCCTTCCATTCTCTGTCTCTATGAATTTGACAGCTGCAGGGACCTCATATAAGCAGGATCATACAGGATCCCACTGTATGGGGTGGGGGGCATCCCACTGTATGGCTGCTCATCGCAGCATGTAGAATCTTGGTTCCCCAACCAGGGATCGAACCCTCACCCACTGCAGTGGAAGTGAGGAGTCTTAACCACTGGACCGCCAGGGAAGTCCCAGGATTTGTCCTTCGTGTCTAGCTTATTTCACTGAGCATAATGTCTTTGCCGTGGACTGTCTGTGTCCCCCCCAAATCCGAATGTTCAAGCCCTAACCTCCAATGTGACTGTATCTAGAGATCGGGCCTTTAAGGTGACAGGTTAAATGAGGTCATAAGAGGGGGTTCTGATCCGATAGGTCTGGTGTCCTTATAAGAGGAAGGGACTCCAGGGATGCACAGGCACAGAGGAAAGGATGTGCAGGTACATAGCAAGATGCCAGCTGTCTGCACCACACCTGCCTACACTTTGATCTTGGATGTCCAGCCTCCAGAACTGTGAGAAAATAAATTTCCTGTATGTTAGCCAGCCAGTCTAGTGTTTTGTTATGGCAGCCTGAGCTAACACAGTCTTCAGGGTTGATCCATGTTGTAGCATGTGATGGAATTTCCTTCCTTTTTGTGGCTGAATAATATTCCACTGTATGGATGGACCACATTATGCTCATCCATTTATCCGCCAATGGGCACTTGGGTTGCTCACACCTTCTGGCTTCATGAATAATGCTGCTGTGAAAATGGGTATACAAATACCTCTTCGAGACACTGCTTGCAATTCATTTGGGTATATACCCAGAAATGGGATTGCTGGATCATAAGGTAATTCTATTTCTAATTTTTCAAGGAAACACCATACTGTTTTCCACAGCGGCTGCACCATTTTACATTCTTACCAGCAATGCAAAAAAGCTTCAATTTCTCTACATCATTGCCAACACCTGTTATTCTTTGTTTTGCTTTTTTAATAGCAGCTGTCCCCTAATGGGCATGAAGTGGTACCTCATGGTGGTTTTGGTTTGCATGTTCCTAGAGACCACTGGTATTGAGCATCTTTTCATGTGCTTGTGGGCTATTTGTGTATCTTCTTTGGAGAAATGTCTACTCAAGTCCTTTGCCCTTTTTTTTTTTTTTTTTTTTTGAGGTAC